TTCTTGTATTAGATACCTCTCAACAAAATAAAATTGCTATAAGAAAAAATAGACACCTTATTGGTACTAATTATACTCTTCTTTTTCATGGCAATATTCCTTATCATTTTTTGGATGATGTTGTCCTTACAACTTACTACCTTATTAATTGAATGTCTTCTTTTGTCCTTAACAATCAAGTACCACACACTGTCATGTTTACTCATCAATCTTTACATCCTCTTCCTCTTTGTGTCTTTGGATCCATTTGTTTTATTCATAAAATTAGTCGAAGAATTGACAAGCTCTTTACTCGTACTTACAAATTAGTCTTTCTTAGTTACACTCGATCTCAAAAAGGTTACAAATATTATTCTCTGACTCTTAATCATTATCTCATCTTGGCTGATGTTACCTTTTTTGAGTCGATTTCATTTTTTAGGTCTTCTACTTCTTCTTCACCTTTTGAATCTGAGTATGTCACACTTCAATCATTTCTACCTCACGTTCTTGTTATTTTTCAACCACCAGAAACATCATCTCTTCTAGATAGTCCTCTTTAGTGTCATTTGCAAGTTTATCACAGACAAAAGCATTACTCTTTGCCACCATTTGCCAATGATGCTCCCCTTACTAATTTACCTACAACGCCAACTTCTCCACCTCCTCTAACCTTGCTCTCAAGTATGATCTTATTATTGCTCTTCGAAAAGGTATACACTTCACTTGCAATTTCTCTCTTCATTATGTTGCTTTAACATATCATTATTTTTCCTTTTCCTATTATACTTGTCTTAACTCGTTGTCTTCTATTTCTATTCCTAAAAATACAAGTGATGCTCTCTTTTATCTTGGTTGGCAACAAGCTATGATCAATGAATGTATGTACTTAAGACCAGTGATACTGAGAACTTTGTCCTTTTTCCTTCGAAAAAGTCTAAGGTCAGATGTAGATGAATTTACACCATCAAGGTTGGCCCTGATAGCCGTATTGATTATCTTAAGGCTTGTCTAGTAATTAAAGGTTATACCAAAGTCTGTCTTAAATTATGGTGATACATTTTTTCCAGTAGCTAAAATTACCTTTGTCACCTATTCTTGTCCATTCTGCAATCTGTCATTAGCCCCTTTACCAGGTTGATATCAAGAATACCTTTCTCCATGGTGATCTCTTAGAAGAAGTATATATGGAGCAATCTCTTGGATTTGTTACTCAAGAGGAGTCTTCTAAATTAGTCTATGATCAATAAAAATCTTTAAACGTAAACAATCTCCTAGGGTATGATTTTGTTACTTCAATATTGTAATACAAGAATTTAGAATGACTTGAAGTGAAGTTAATCATTCAATTTTCTTTTGTCATTTAGCCTCATGATGCATTTATTTAGTTATTTATGTCGACAACATTATTATTACTGGTAACTATCACTATGATATTACAAAAATGAAGTATTATTTATGTCCACATTTCCAAACAAAAAATTTTGGCAACTTCAATATTTCTTAGGAATAAAAGTGACAATCTAAGAATGACATTGTGATTTCTTAGAGGAAGTACACGTTGGATATTTTAAAGGAAGTTGAATTGATGGGTGTCAAGCCTGTAGACACTCCTATGGATCCTATTCAAAACTTTTACCAAGTAAGAGAGAGTCTCCTTCTAATCTAGAGAAATGTTGTAGGTTTTTTAAAAAACTAAATTATCTCACTATCATTTGTATAATTATCACTTTTGCAGTTAGTATGGTAAGACAATTTCTTAACTCTTCTTATAAAGGAAATTGGGATGCGATAATTCACATTTTTAAAATACATCAAAGGGACTCCAGGAAAAGGACTCTTGTATAAAAGGTAAGAGTCACACTTGACTAGTTATATGTGTTCTTATTGGCAGTAGTTTGATCTCATGAAAGAATAAAAAATAAAGTGTAAATGCTCATTCAAGTGCAAAAACAAAATATTGAGTCATATAGCCTTAGCTACATACACTTATCTGGTTGAAAAAATTGCTCAAAGAACTAAGATTATAAAAAATAACACTTGTTTGTGATAATCGGATATCCTTGCACATTGCTTCAAATACATTGTTCTATAAAAGAACAAAGCATATTGAGATAGATTGTCACTTCATTGGAGAAAAAAAAAAACTATGCAAAGACATCACTACTAGTTTTGCAATGCGAATGATCAATTGGCAAATGTCTTTACTAAATCATTGAGAGGTTCTCATATTAGTTATATTTGTGAAAAGATTAATGCATACGATTGATATAACATATTTTATGTTGACATTTATAGTTTTATTTTGATTTATAAACACTTTTTATATGTTTTATTTTTAGAGTTTTTACCATTTTCTAATTATTTGAATAAATTAGACTTGTTACAAATAAATGTTTTAATTTCGTACTTTTGTTTATTTTGACCTCTTGACTACTCTTTTGTCTATAACTTTTTCTACAGAGATCTTTTACTTATTCTAGTTGCATTGGATTCTACACTTCCAGGGCTTCAAAATGCATATATAGATCACTAGATTTGGAGTTGTTTTTGATTTTTTATGATTTTTTGAAGTTAAGACAAATTTCCTTAATCTTGTATGCAGGATTACATTTGAACCATTATTATTTAATAATTGTATTTGTGCTTTTAGATATAATTGAGACCCTAATTTTGACTATTTAGTTTATTCTAATCAGAACTTATAAATAAATTAATAAGGCTATGAATTATGGCACAATTAGACACTTTGAATTTTTTATATTTGATCTTTAATAAGAATTTTTGTTTTTAATTCTCTCATCTTCCTTTCATTCTTGCTTGGATTAAGTGCTTTGATGGAAGATTAAATCTCTCGTTTAATCTGTAGAATCTAGATGATGTAAATCTGATTTAAGTTTTTGACAAATTACTCTAAATTTGTTATCTTTTTCTCTAATCTCATATTTGTGTGTTGCAATTGTAATTAACTTTTCTTTGATTAGAATTCAATTGATATTCTGATTTGATAATTAATTCGGATTAGGTTAAATGATATTTTAATTTAATTTATAATCTGATTTAATTAGGTTATTCGATTGAATTAATAACTGGATTGGGTAATTGCTCAAACGCAGATTAAAATCTTTAAATATTATGATAATAAGAATTACACGCATTTGGGATTTGATAATTCTTAATCTGTCTTTTTCTTCATGTTAATTGCGCTCATAATTTTAATTTAATTAATTGATTACCTCCTCTCATTTTAAATTTTGCTCTATTGATTTTATTAAATTTTTTCGTTTAAATTTTTATTTGATAAACTACTTTGATACTTTGATGATTTTTAAGAGACGATTATGGTTGTTTGCCTCATGTTATAATAATTAGGTTTTTATTATTTTGACTCACAGGGATCAATGATCTAAATGCTCCAACATGAGGGGGTGTTAAATATATGTATTTATTGTAATAAAGTAAATTTATCTTTATAATTATATTAATTAGATAATTGAGTATCCTATAATTATTGTTATCATTAATATAAACATATGATTTGTTGTGTAGTTGAAATATAGATTCAATCAATACTTTTTCTTTTTTCCTTCTTTCTTAACAGACTCAAATATTGTCACAAGTTGAGAGTGTAAAAATAACCTAAATATGTTCAACAAATAATTTTTAGAAAACGTCTACAAAACGAAGTTTATGCAACTAAAATAAAATGTGGGAGAATATGCAATCTGCTTTGAGGCTTTTCTTAAATATTCTAGATATATAACTACACCCAATGAAAAATGAAAATATATAAATTTGTAGATAAGTTAAGACAAAGAATTAAGGAGAAGATAGTACCTATAGAGATTAGATATTTTCTGTAAATTTTCAATTTGAAAGACTTAATGATAAATATGACTAAAACCTATAGACATCATAGTTCTAGTAGTAGTATGCCACTAACTAAGAAGAGATATCTTATTTTTAGAGAAACAAAAGACAAAGATCTCAAGAACAATAGAAGGGGTACAAATAAGCATCAACTCCCAAATGATACACTAAATGTTGTAGAGCTCATAAAACTGAAATATGTATAGAGAAAGTGCTTGTGTATTGTATTTGTAAGAAATTGGAGTATTTTACTTGGTATTTCACTTACTTTAAGAATGTTCCATTGTGTGATTCAAATAGTGGAGACATCAAACAAGTAGCTAATAAGCTCAAGATAAGAGATAGAGTAAATATCTAAGTAAAAAATATACTTCTATATGTCTTATATGTGATAGGATTTTTCTTTTTAAAATTATATTATTTGATTTAAGTGTATACATTCATTTATATTTATGAAATTCACCGAATCACTAATATTACCTATGGCTATTTATCATATGACTTAATTGATTATACCCTTGTTGAATATTTTGTTACTTCTAAAGTTTGTTTGAATTGACTTTTTATTGAAAAAAATAAATCATTATATTTAGTTTTGTATTTATTCCTATTATTGATCTGTGATGAACTTTGGCACGATTAATTATATGTTAAATAACTTTGATAAAATTTTATTTTTTCAATTACACTGGAATGCTAAACTAGTCGATAAGTTTATTAATTTTTTATTGATAATTATACGAAGCCTACAAATACAAGCAACTCTTGCCTATAAATGTAATTTTTTTTTAATATAGTCATAAACTTGTTTGACAAAAATGATTTTTGGAAAAAGTTTCAAAAATCATCGAGTCATGCACGTGCACAAATGTATGAATATGGATATACAAGAAAAATTAAGACTCGAGTGTCAAGCTTAATAAATTAACAGTTTCACTATAGACATTAAATTTAGAGTTCAGGAAAAAATATTATATATATATATATATATATAACCCAAAACCTTGATAGAACATTTTACTTGAACCAATATTCAATCAAAACTTCATAATGTTAAAAGAGTTAACCTAATTTATTGAACCTAAATCGTAGAATTAAAAAAAAAAAAAAAACATTTCTTATAAATATTTTTAAAAACCACATCAAGTCTAATTCTTAAAACCAAAATTCATCAAAATTAATTTCGGATCAGGCCCAAAATAGTGAGATAGGGCATGTCTTGAATACACCTAATTTCCTAATATATGGGTACACATGGCCATCATCATTCATTACTACTCTTACATTTCTACTCCACCTGAACATCATAGCTACCCACTACCCTATAGAATCCACAGTAACCAAAACCATGATAATATTAATTCTCTTTGCTTCTATTCTGTCCCATAAAAATCGTTGAACCATCCATATGATAATACGCATAGCTTCCTCGTATATACACTCATCAGTGAGACTGTACACACTCGTCAACGCCAAAAGGGCTTTCAAAAAGTAAATCTATTACACCTATCGCAAAAAACAGATGTATTGATGGATCATAGCTATGCTCTAGTGGACTGTACACAATATCCCTTCCCCCCAAAAAAGATATTAAAAAAAAAATAGATTTGCAAAAAATTTTACAGCTAATCTACAAGTATCTATCAATCTTCAGGGCGTTGAATCTCACCCATCATGATCCGGTTGCTGGAGACCTTGAAACCAAGAAGAGAAGGATCTATCTGTTTCCCTTTCTTCCCTTTCTTTTTCCCACTTCGCCCTGCTTGCGTGGCATCAGATGTCTCATTACCGGCTCCACTAGTTGCATGTGAGTCCACCTCAGGAAGAACGGGCTTTTTTAGCATGTCCATAAATGACGTCTCTGACACAGCACCTTCACTGAATGAAGACGACCTAAATCGAACCTCCTTTTTCCCAGAAGCCTGAGCATCGGTCATGCTGCTAATTGACAAATTTCCAGCTGATTCTCGTCTCCCTGCCAGATCTTATATTTCACTCACTGCAGAGATGTGAAAGAAAAGCTAAATTAAAAGATCACATACCTTCACTGGATGTGAGATTTATTAAATTATTTTGATTGACATGAGGTACAGATGGTTGGTCTGACTGAACATCTGGGGAAGATAAAACCCGAGATACATGGGGGCGCTTATGGAATGCATTATCAAACCCTTTTGTTGAAGGAGGTATCCTGTCAACAAAAGACAATCAAACCTCAAGTTTAATAATCAGTCAATATACATCAACTCAACCATTTATGCATACACAGTATATAGACCGATATATGAACAGTGGATACATCAACACATTTTTTTTTACGATAATTACTCATTATGTAGGCAATAATTCGATCAAATGTGTCAACTTTAAATGGCTATCTTTTTTTTAAGTGATTCTTCTGCTACTACTACCTGTACAAATGTAGTCCCAACCCATTTCCATCCCTTTGGAAGAGTAGTTAGTTAATTGCATCAGTTTTAAGATAAATTTAATCAGTGAAATTCTTCACAGGTGCATTCAGAAAGTCTACAACGACTATCTGCAAACTTCAACTATGGAAAATTTGTGTTCACAACATAGAAAGATCGTAGGCTATCCAAACTACAATCTTATGCAAAACCTATCACTAAATGAGAAACAAGAATATATTAAAAAAATTAATGCAGCATATAGAAATTTGAGCTCAACAGATGTGTAATGCAATTCTTAACAAACCCAGCAGTCCGATCAAAAAATTCAAGGAAAATTCTAAAACCCAAATAACCAAATTAATTTTAGTCCAAAAAGCAAAGTGTGAAAAAAAATTACCTGTCACCAGAAACCTCATCTCCACGTGAATTATTCAAACCCATGTCACGACCAAATGAGCCACCATCACCACCTGCAGCATCTTATTCATTATATCAACCATATACAAGCACATCAATGAAATATAGTAGTCAGGTAGTATCTTACCAGCACTGCTTAGTGAGCTATGTCTACTGTGGGTAATAGCGGGCAGTTCCATGGGATTCATGATGCTTTCCACTTGCTCTGAAATGTCTGACATCCCAGGAACTAAATTGTTCATTGTGCCCATAAATTCATGCCTCTGTCCCTTATTTGTCTCCAACTCAAGTACGTCTTTCTCCATAGATGATTTACCAATCTGAAAAGGAATTCTGTAATTGGGATGTAAAGTGTCCTTATTAGCAGATAACAGTGATTGCTCTTCAAGTAATGCACCAGATCTAGACCGAAGAGGCATTCTTTCACTATTCCCTAGATTGTTGTATTGATCAGTAATATGCATGCTGGTTAAATGATCGTGCATTAGGGCATTGGAATTAGCACTTTGAGCCCTTTCTAAAAATGGGTCACTCAGATGGACTTGCTGATCTGGTGTAAGTTCAAAAGGATGCATTATTGAACTAGCCTCCGGACCATGCCAAGATTTGTCAAGATTTCTTGATGAAAGAGAATGCCATTTATCAACAGTTGATGGTTGTGTGGATTGAACACCCAGTTTTTGATGAAGTAGGTCCATAAAACCTCGCGCTGAACTCTCTTCATGAGCTCCAGCAGATGCAGATAAGTTTAAATCTGCAGATGTAACAGTATCCCCTAACTCTCTTCTCTGCCTTGCAGCTTCAAGATGTTGTAGCTGCACCCGAGGATCAATCCAGCTATTTTCCACATGCCCATTGTTGCCAGAGAGTGAGTTTTTGAATGCATCAGGGTGGTGACCAAAAAGATCATCAGATGATTGCAGGTGATGAGAGGATAAAGAACCCAGTTGATCAGTTGGAAGTAAATAGCGACGACGGTCATGCAATTCCCTTCCTTGGACAGAAATAGGTGCAGACCTCTCAAACATCATAGAATTAGGCTCATAGAACCCTCTCTGGTTTTGCTCAGGAAGATTTCTTCCCAAATAATTTAATTGCTCCTCATGCGCCACAAGCCTCTGCTGCTGTTTGTGGATATCTGACACATTAAATCCTGTTGAATGACCCAGTTGATGGGTAGTTTGATTTCTTACCAACTGCCCAGTTTCATTAATTGGCCATGACCTACCAAAATGCCTTTCTCCATCCAACCCTAACTTCTGTCTAAGAGCCAAAGATATCTGCTGTGCCTGTAGTTGATCTTGCTGAAAATGAAGTTGTTGTTCAGAAGACAATATATTTCCATGCCTTGCTTGCAACAAGAGGTCTGACAAATCAGCCTGCCTTCCTTGGACAGCATTGAGGCCCATATTTGCTTGAATAATCTGTTCCATTGATGGATCAAGATGCCTTAAAGAATGTGAATTCTGCTGCAAATCATGCAGATATCTCCTCAATTGTACCTGATCTAACAGGTTATCCCTAGAAATATCATGTTTTGTCTGTCCAAAATTAGGATCAGGGATTTGCTGATGCATAAGCTGTTCAAGAAGTAACTGCTGAACTTGAGACTGTTGCTGGGGCTGAAGTTTCATTTGTTGTTGAAGTAAGTGTTGATGGTGCATTTCTTGCTGTTGTTGAAGCTCAAGCTGGCGTTGTTGAATCTGAAGTTCCAGAATTCGTTCAAAGTCTGGTCCTGAATTCTGCATCATCTGTTGGATGTTGGACTTCATGTTTTGAGAATGGGCAAAACCTGGAAATCTCTCTAAATCTGATCCATTAATATGAGCAGGGAAATGGTTAGAAATATTACTCTGCTGCTGAAGCCTTTCCTTCTGAAGCTTCTGCAACATAAGATGCTCTGCCACATCAAAATTATTAAATTTTGGTCCCATATGGGACAAGAACTGATCTTCTAACGAACCTACATGTGGATTTGGATTAAAATGCCTATTTATTCCATATTCATCAGTCCATGTCTCCCTGAAAGAAGGCTGATTAACAATGCCACCAACAGTGCTTTGATCAGCAAAAGGAGCATCTCTATCAATTAATGGATCTAGAAAATGACCCTGGTCACCCAATCTCAAAGAACTATTGGAAGATTGTGCACGCCTTAAATGAGAACCATCTCTGAGTTCAGACATCAATAACCCAAAGGGGTGCAACTTATCAGCCTCACTATTGTGAACATCACTCACTGCAATTTCATTCGCAACAGGTTTTCCAGTAGGATGGGAATATGAAGCATTAACATCCCCAGGCCTCATCAAAGGTTTTTCATTGATGCTTCCAGCCAATTTTGATAAAGTGACATCTACATAAACAAATATATATAAATAAAAAGTAGAAGCAAATGCATACATAAACATGATCAAACAAATTGTTAAGCAATATAATAGTAGAAAGACATGACAATGGCAGAACATGAAAGCAAGTAACTTACCCTCATCATGTGCAACAATATTATTGAAGCACTGGTCATCAGAGTACTTGATTTCAGAGTGATAACTTTGATTAGGTATTTGAGAAGGAATCCCAACACTTGTGGTAGTATCAGGTCGAGATGAAGACCAAGGTTGATCATCACTAACAGAAGACCCGTCATAGTCAAAAGTATGTACATCTACTTTCAGATTCCTTCCAATGGCATCAGATGGTTCTGATTGAATAACCTGGTTACTTCCTGCACCTAATCCCGATTTGACTTTCAAATGAGGCATAATGTCACCAAGTTCTTGAAATGGGGATCCTTCAGGAGCATCTGATAAACGAACAGGTAAGTCCATCCCAAAAAATCCTTGTTCAAACCACAAAATTATGTCAATTCCAAGAAAGGGTCCTTGAACTACCCCTTGAGGGTCAAGATAGCACAAACTCAACTCCTCAAGTGCAATAACACTTTCAGGCAAATATGTCTTCTCATTAATTTTTAAGTCTTGTTGATCAATACTTGGAGGTTGCTGCAGAGATGAAAAATCAAAAAGAGAGCGAGAATTATCAGGCAGATTACTACTAATTTCAGAAGCAGCAATTGAGACGACACCATCCCGATTAGCATGTTCCTGAAAAGTAGAAGTGTGTCCCTGATGATAATCAAAAGATTCTGATTCAGCAACTTTATTTCCAGGAATGCTTCCATCCCCAATGTTGCCACCAGAACTCTCATTTCTCCCATGCACACCAAATGCTGGCATATGTTTCTGCTTGCCTTCTTGAAAAGATGCAACTTCTGAAGGATATGATAATTTGGATACAATCATTAAAGTAAAAGAAAATGAAAAATCTTTAGACAGATTTACAGTTAGAATTAAAAATAGTAATTTCTCACCCTCAACAATATTTCTCAATAAACCACCAGCAGTTGATGCTGAACCAATTAAAATTTGATCAGAATCATTTGAGACATCAATTCCTGATATAACCTTTGCACCACTTCCAATGTAAGGTTGTTTTCCTTCACTAGTAACATCAGGACCTGAAATAAGCCAAGGAAGAAAACAATAAGAGGTGAAGAAAAAGTCTGACTGTTTTACATGAATTAAAAAATCCATCCAAAATATGCACCTGAAATATCATCATTTGACCCTCCATCCTTTCCTCTAAAAGAGTAGCTTGAGACTTCACTATTAGTAACCTTTCCCTTCCATATTTCTTTAAGGACAGCCTGAAAGAATGATGAAAAACAGAATAAATATCAATATTGAAGAGCAAGTTACCCTTCACGAATACATGAGATCAAAACATCACATCAATCAATATGGCAAAATACGGGTGTTTTTTCATCTTTTATGCTGCATACCTCTTCCTCAGCAGCAGGAGCAACAAATGCCAATGGTTCAACAGAACCAAGTTGAGTTATCGGTGATGCATGCTCCATCTCAGAAGGCATGCCATCAAAATTTGGATCAACCTTTTGCTTGCGATATATGTCAAGAATCTTGCCCCTAGGGTAGTAATATGAATCAACACCCAGGCTAGACTTCCCCAACATGGTTTTATTCCTATCCATTAGTGCAGATCCAACACTAGAACCTATTGGAGGCCTTCCAATCTGCAAGTTTCCATTGATATTTGCCCTTCCTCTTCCAGGTGAAAATCGTACATTGCAGCCTTCTATACGTCCTTTCTCCAGACCAAATCCAGGTGCAGCACGGTATGTGGCCACACCAGCAGCTTGAGCTTCCAATCTGTGTCGTGGCCTCCATTTATCACGAGAATCAGTGTCACGATCAGAACCCATGCGATTGCTAACACCAGAAGATTGTTTTTCAGTGTGACTATCTTCCTTCTCAACATCATTTCTTTTCTCACTTCGAGAATCCTTCTCTTTATCTTCAGGACCCCATCTTGATGACCACTTATTCTCTCTTCGAGAGTCATGGCCAGAACCACGGCTCTCATGCCAGCGATCAGAGGGTAAGGATCTATTCTCCGAGGTTGAAGTAATCTCCAAACGACGATCTTCTTTTCGGCGATCCCTTCTCCCAAGCAAGCTTGTTTCTCTCTCCTCTTCACGCCAGCGGCGACTTATGTCAACATCAGGAGCAGTCCTCCTCCAGTCTTTTTTGTCCTGAGACCCCTCCAAACGCCAACTGTCTTTCAGTATGGGATCAGTAGAGTTCACCTGAGGAAAAAAAAAACCCAAGTAGATGGATATCACCCTATCATTTTCCAAAGACCAGGCAAAAGCTGCAGATGTTAAAGAGAAAATATTAAATATTATTTAACTTTACAGTTAAAGAACCACTCCAATTCAACCTTGAAAGAAAAAAAAAATATACCTGCATGATTATTCAACTTTTAGAAAGCAAATGCGAGATAAATCAACAAAATAGAAATGAATAGGCAAAAGAAACTACTACTAAACTCCCAAGGATATATATCTTCTTGTTTTGTAGCTACTAGCTACACTATTGTATTAGGAACTCTTCACTCTTTAAGAATAAAAATGCATAATAACTCTTACCATACTAATTGGGCACCTAATTCATCATTAATAGTTTAAACTACAACCCCTTGCTTTTAAGAGACAGCTTTGTCAAGAAAAACATTTTACAATTTTGGAAGAATACTCAAAATTGAAGGAGTCAACTAAAACTCAGAGAGGGTAACAAGAAAATGTATTGTCACTGCTTTAAGCTTAAAAACAGTAGTACTGGGTGCAAATAATTTTTAGGAAGGGGTCAGTGATCCAAAGACCTCCCTCTCACTGTTTCCAACATCATCACTGCCAGCATGTAAAATCAAAAGCATCAAACAAGATTGCATGGACAATAATGCCACATTAAACTCTCCAGCTCCTCAAATGAAAAAATCTCCAGTTTCCAAAATAATAAATAGTAACAAAGCCCTAACATATGCAAAGAGGGGGGGGGGGGGGGGAGGAATCTGATAATGCAAGCACAATCAAAACATCAAACGTTACATACCCCCACCAGGTTAGCAGTTGGCCTCGCATCAACAGGTTTGGAATAAAGCCACTGTGGGGATAAGGGTATGCTGCTGTCAGATGACACTTGATCTGAAAGTAAAACAAGTTTTATCAATCAACAGTCACCATTTATGCAGAAAAGGCCACTAAATTTTAACTTACAAAGATAAACAGGATACCTTTTGAATCATCAAGTAGTGCCGCAATCCCTTTCTCCCCGCCATGTCCTCCAGATGCTTCATCTATCACAACCAAAATGCAAATATTAGCAGGCGTGATTCAAATTGGTGTATGTTTAAAAAGTTGTCAGAAATATTTATATGAAAAAGGCAGTTTTAGTGCTTTCTCATAAGCTACAAAGTGTAGTATCTGAAAAACATATAAAATCCATACAACAAAAGTGCTTAATGACGAGATCTACAGTATCCACCACCACGTGCAATTACATATCACGAGAGACTTTTGAAAAACATAATAATCAACAGGTAAATCAAATCACCCAGCCAAACACGCTGAAGAAAACAACAGCACCAGCAACACAATCAAATCAGCATACTTTAAGTCTTAGAAAAACGAAATTCCCAGATTCAGATTAACAAGAACAGCAAACTGAACTCCAGTCCATCTATCCATCCAAACAAAGCCATAGAAAAACCCCACTCTTCAGCAAATAACAGTTTATAAATCATAAATCAAACTCACTAAAGCATTGTTAGAAAACTGAGAACAATAAAAAAGGTGCAAACATAGATCAACCTTCAATCTAAAGCAAAGTCAACCCAATATTAAAAAAGAAAACGAATAAAAACACACACACAAAAAGCAAAAAAAAAAAAAAAAAAACAAAATCCAGAGCCACACAAGCGTGAACAGGCATGTCTGTCGGACACGCAATTGACACGAAGAACGAATCACGGATTGAGATTCAACGGATCCAGACAAGGAGATCAAGCAATGATTGCGAAACAATGAAGACGCGAACAAACATGGCTTTCAAGGAACCCCAAAAATAAGCCCTAGAATAATTTTAGCTATGGAAAGTGGAATGAATAAATGAATCGAATCACCTTTGAGAGATGAGTGAGAATCAGAGGGCTTGGAAGAGAAGAGATCGTCGGGGAGATTGACCTTGCCGTCGCCCATCGCTGTCGAGTTCGAGATTGTGGGAATTCGAAACGGGCAGATCCGAAAATGGAACGGAAGAAGAAGATTAGGGTGGAAAATGCGAAAAGAAGGATGGAATGCGAAAGAGGGAGAGATAGAGAGAGAGAGAGGGTAGGGTTTGCGAATTGCAGGGTATAAGATGGATAGAAAGAAGGAGAGAAGACTAGAAGGAGAGAGAGAGAGAGAAAGAGAGAGAGAATGAGGTAAGGGTTTGAGGGCTCAGGGTAGGGTGTGGTGTAGTATGGTGTGTTAACATCAGGAGCTACCACGAGACAGTCATATATTATTGTATTTTTTATTTTATTTTTTCCTTTCGTTTTTATCACAAATGCACAGCAAATTGAAAATAAAATTCATTAATTAATTAAGGATGTAATGAGATGAGTTTAAAACATAATTTAATTCAGTTTATCTAAATAATTTATCATTTTTGTAAAATTTATTTATAATTTTTATAAATTAATAAGTTATTTATACACCTTACGAGGATTATTAAATTAAAATTTTTAAATAAAACAAAAATATAATTAATCATTATAAATTTTTTAAAATAAAAAGTAATTAACTTATTTCATCAAACTGCCTTAAGTAAAATTTTATTCTCAATTTTCACTTGTTTAGATTTTATTTTTATGGTTTGTTTTTTAAGATACAAGTGATTTATTATGGTTTCCTATATTTTTATTTATTTGAATTTAATTTTTATTTATTAAGATATTAATTAATTTTTATAAAAAATATTATTGATGATTTTTATGTGGTCAAAATATTAATTCTTAAAAAATAAAAATTCAATAAAAGTAAAAGGTATATGAAATTATTTTTTTATTTTTCTAAAGAAATATTTTTCTAAAAAAAATTAAAGATATCTTTATTTTTAAAACTTAAGTGATGAATAAGAGATGGAGATACAAGATGGAGGTGATCTCTCCTAAGGCTTCTAAACAACTACAAAAGAAATCATTTGGTACGAAGGATTATTGACAATTAATCATAACACGACGTTCTTTCATCTTTTAAATCACTAATTTATGAAGGTTAATGGAGACTAGATCTCTAAAACTTACTTGGAGACGATTAATAGATAAATAATCTTTAAAATATACTTAGAGAGTGGTTTATATATAACTAATATTTAAACATTACTTAAAGAATAGTTAATATATAACTAATCTCTAAAGTCTTTTTTAAATATGTTAGTTTAAGCATAAAACTACTATATGAAGTGGACAACATCTTTAAAGAGTGATTTCATGTGTACTTCTCTTCATATTAATCTCTACATATTGATTCTTGACTCACCAATCTCTAAAATAAAACGCTAACTATACATTTTCTTCATTGTCTCCATGTAATATTTGAAGATGTTAATTCTCACTTTTTATTTTGTACCATCGTTGTCACTAGGCTTGCCACCATATTGTCAATATTTTTTATCATTCTCTATGTAAATATATTATACTTTTATTTTTTATCGTTTATATTACTCATTCTTACATACACATACATACATACACACATAAATATAAATAAATATATACATATATATATATATATATATATATATATATATAACATTACATTACATTCCCTTCATGTGTCATGAGCAATAAAATCATCTTCTTTTGTAAGGTGAATAGGGGAGGAGTCATCTTGCATTTGAAGTGATCTCGAAAGTAAATAGTGCATAGTGCCAATTTAAGTACATATTGATTTACATTTTGCTTTAGATATAATTCAGAGGATTATGTTTTTCAAGTTATGGTTTATGCTTTATGTGCTACTTTAGCTTGAATTTGTTACTATGAATTCATTTGTTTCCATATTTGTCATAAAACTGCTCATTGTAACAGTTATAATTGTTTGGTCTCATAGATCATTTTATTTATCATTGATACTTAATGTTTAGTTATTGAGAATTTTGGCTTTGAATAATAAGCAATGTTCATTATTTGCTTTTTTAAAGAATGAAGTGTTTTCTTAAACTAATCTTAGCACCTTCCTAGCAAGTTGGGATATGATTATGTTTATGGGGGGATAAATTGATGAATGCAATAAAATAAATTCACAAATTCAAAATAAGGATTAAGAATGGTTGTTGATGTAGAGAACTTTAAGCTTCAAATAATTTTTTATGTCACAGAGTGGTTGGTATATGTTTGCTTTTGAAACAACAAGGTGACTTAGTTATTCATATCTTGTACTCTACTCCTCCAAAAGTAAAGTAAATGTTATAAGATGCTTGATAACTAAAATAAAATCAATTTAAGTAAATAATAATAATAATATCAAACTAAGTTCTCACTCTTTTGTAACAATTGTACCAAATAATCAAAAGTTAGTACCTAAATAATTATATATAAATAATAATAATTAATAAGTAATATTTATTAAGAAATAAAACATGGAGAGCACGAGGGAAGGAATAAAGATGAAGAGTTTAGACAACAATAGGCTAAGAGGTGGTAATCATTGAGTTAGGATTTACATCCAAAAACAAAGCAAGTTTCTTCAAATCTTTTGTTACATCTAAGACAATAAATTATCCAACCCCCATATATTGAACAATAATGCTTATGTGGATTAGGAATAATAGTTGTAAACAAAACAATTTATTGTGATGGGCATAACAACTAATTATTTCATGTGAAATACTAGTAGCATGTAGACTCTTATTTGATTTTCTATAAAGTCATGTTTTAGTATATCTACCATTTCTTTCCAAATCAGCCACTAAGTACATAACAAGTACCTAACATAAGACAAAATCATTTATTACATATGGTTTTATAAAGTTCAAGTACCTTATTAGCTCTTTAAATGGAGAAATAAACACTAATTAAAGCAGTATAAGTGGTAGTGTATTTAAGGTTATCAAGTAATAAACTGAAAATATTTGAGATAAAAGTTTCTTGCCTAACATAACCAAGTCTATAGATCAAAAGTGAAGCCAAATAGATTACAAGAGAATGCTCAAGTCTAGTTATTTCCTCGACAATTTCCACTAGTTTCAAAAATATTTTTGATCTAATTAACAAGCTTACTAAGCAAAGATATTTTGATCTCTTAATGCTTATTCTCATCATCATGCTATACTTGAAAGTCATAAGCACCTTTGAGTTGGCAATTACTATAATTTACCTCAACAATGGTTAAGACATTCTTACAATCTAAATCTATTTTCTTATCCCATCATGCAAACAATCAATAACAATAATATTTTTTATTTTTTAAGAGAACAAATAGAAACTTATATCTATATTAGGAGGAGAATCTATAGCAATTATGACACTATCATTTAGCTCCTTCCATATGCTACAATCCATATAAAATTGAGAATTGACTTACCTTAGAAGGATTCTCTTCACCAATTTTTAGAGCTTCTAATGCTTTCACAAAAATAGGGTAACAAAGAACATGATTATTTTCTTTCATATATTGAAGGGTTGTCATGAACACAGTCCCACTAACTTTAGAACACCTCTTAATAAAAATATTGCTCGTAATCTTACCATGACCTAACTAGGAATTACAATTTTATAATTGTTCCAACATCCATCATGACTAGTACAATACTATCCGTAAGTTTCAAAATAACTTCAAGTGCAACGAACAAGAAGTATAGACTATGAAGAAAGTATTAACATAGTTTATACCTTTATGTTTTTGTTAGTTACTCTATGGTCCAAGTTTGAAACATACAACTTTGTAAAAGATCTAGATAAACAATAATGTAGTAACTCACTTATCCAAAATAACCATCACAAAAAACAAATGGATATCCCTTTTCATGCACTTTTTTTCTCCATTTGTTGTATTTAACAAAATTCTTTAGTGATCATATAAGGCACATCAAACGGGAGTAAAATAATAAAACTTTATGATGTTACTTGACATACAAATTTTGAGCACAATTATAGAACATTGCATATTACTCTACTTCATGATTCTTAACCTAATCAAGCACACAACCTTGAAAATTGAGGAATGAAGCCTAAATTTGTTTGTTTATAATCTATATACACCATTGAGATTGGCACCAATGAAATGATTAAGGCAAAGCGCAAGTCATGCATGTGTGTCATTGACATAAGTGACCAAGGTGGAACATAACCATCTCTCTAGGCCTAACCTCTTAGTCTCTAGGTTCAACATGCATTCCCCAAATCTTAAAACACTAGTGCTTTCAATTACTTACTATTATGTCTTGTTTTTGTCTAACATTATTTAAGTTTTGTGGTTTGTTATAAATTGTGACTTTAAAAACATATGCTTGATGGATTGTTATGCAGTGTAAATTATTCTCTAGTTTAAGTTTTAATTTATTAATTTAATTCAAAATTTGAATAAAATCTTAGTTTTTTGTTTGAGATTCAAGACAATGGTTAAACTAGTTACTGTGTTAGTCATATATTCTCTAAGTTACACAATTTGGGAACAAAGTTTTTCATTGATTAGTGAGCAAACACTTTTTAAAATTTTGTTTATTTGTACTTGATAAAATTTTGGTTTGATATATTTTTCATTGTCTTTGAGTGTATACTTAATTGTGGTAAATGATACCATATTCAAGTTATGTATATAGAAACTAATGTGAAATACTGCTAAAATTTCACTAAGTATAAAAATAAAGGTTAAGTAGTAAATGTTAATTAATGCATAAAAAAATTTCTTCTTAAATGGAATAAAGTCTTACCATGTGAGACAAAAGGAGACATTGATTTAATTTCATAATATGATTGTTCTTTTAGCAGTTTGAGCAAATATGGATTAAAGTTGCACGTTTGCTAATAATTTTACCTAATAATATGAAGATATACTAAAGGAGTTTATTAAATTTGCAATTAAACATGCAAGTGATACTAATCTCTCTCCTTGTCTTTATTAGTGTTGTCTAAATATGATGACAAGTAATTATAGAGGAATTGAAAATTATTTAATGTGTAACAAAATTGATAAAAAAATGTACTTGTTGAAAAAAAAAAACCATTTGTGAGATAGAAGGTGAGAACATATTTAATCCTTTGGAGTCTAGTGTAAGATACACAAATACATTGACTAAAGATAAGACTGATCATGTTGTGATAGAAAATTTTAGAGATTGTTCAAAGATATTTGAAAAGTTGAAAAATAATGCAAAAAAACTATTGTACATCAAATACACTAATTTATATGATTGAGAGCAATGTTAAAGCTTTATAACTTAAAAACATTCAATAAATTAAGTGATA